TGTTTATTTCACTTTATCCAGGACAAATTAAAGCGGAGGCCTAAAACGCGGCTCAAGCTCGCCCCTTCTTTTTGACATAGCTACTGAAATTGTTTTCAGTAAGTGTGGGGACGTCCATTAAAATTATACAGTAGATTACATATCTGATGAAAGGTTAGATATTGGGTGATTTAACACACGGCAATACGGTACGATGGTGTGGCTTGACGCCATGGTTGTGGGCCTATAGGTTGTGTTGAGATGAAGAGTTGGGGATTAGGTTACAGGCTGTTAGCGGTTTGGTCTCGGGTTTATTACAAAGTTTCTCAGCGAGGGGGTTACGCTTAGTGTCGAAGTTTCAATAACCAGTTGTACGATATTTAGTAATCCTATACCTTAGTGCTAAAATTAATTATTAAGTAATTCAGTCAGAAAGTATTTGATAACAATAGCCATGATCGATTCGTTGCAGTTTTCGGAAAGTGACAGCATAGTGTTTGCTAGTGATTCCCTAGGGACTTTGCCATATAATTACCAGCGTAACATTTTTCAAATTGCTTCAGTTTTGTCAGAGTAACCGCGTTTTAAGCCCTTGCCTATATTAAAGCGGTTGCAATAAAGGAAACATTTCGGCTTTCTATCCCTTTCGTACAAGGTTGCGCTCGTTCATGAGGCCCCGCTCCGCAGGGCAACCATGAAGCTAAAAACCCTATCGGTTTTCGGACAGCCTTCATTGGATCTTACCCCTGCCTTTGTTTGTGTCTTACAATAACTATTTACCGGATCAGTCCTCGACTGCCTACGTTTCGGAGCCGAAAGTCGACGTATTTCTCAGAAAGCCATTCATCAAGGGCGTTTCGCTATCCGCCAACATTAGATCCATCAGGCTACCAACGATTAGGCTAACCAGCGGGTCCTATATTCAGAAGCTTCGTTTCACTAAGCCAACAATATCTGCACTGACAAGAGTATTTTACACAGTTATTGTGCTTCCCAGACTATCAATGCAGCTGCCGCAGAAAGCCGTAGTTGCGACTACCATTTTCCGCCTCCGTCTTCTGACGAAATTAAAACAGTAATCCCACGTATCTGAAAGAGCAGAGTCCTGGTTCAATACCACAAGAGCGGTAAGAGCATTATCCCTAGCGCTCCTGAAAACGCATATATTTAATAGAGTGTAGCATACAGAATCTATCAAACAGGGTTTGAATACTGCCATTCTATGCCCACTCACAGAAAAGAGAAAGGATGAATATACACATAGGCTTAATTGGCGTCGCTGCAGCATTAAGTTTGATCCAACTAACACATATCTGAAAGGCTGTGGAGGTCGGCGGTATGCCTGGGGTCCCAGGCTTTGGACTAAAGCGTTCTTCTCGCAAATAAACGTTCTAGTTCACACTGAAGTGGGTGAGCACTTCGCCTGCACCGCTAGAGTCCAAAACAGCCATGATTTCCCATACATTTTCTGCAATTATGCGGTTGACCCTATTCTGTTCACATAAAACCCTTGTGACTCGGACACAACGTTGCACTTCATTCTGGGTGGTGAGAGTATGCGGTCGGTCTTTTAGATATCTCGAATTCTTTGCACTATCGATGTTATTATTAGTATTTTCGTTAAGGAGAAATCAATTCAGAATTCAGGTTAATCCTTACTCAACCACATTTAAGGCACCTACACCAACTAACTGCCCTTAGTTCTCGATTAATTATTCGATAAACGATTGCGGCTTCAGCTGATTAGTGGTTTTTACGGCGTACCTGGAAGGCTTGAAGGTCTTTGATCGCCTGCTCCAATGCGTATTCTACACCGCGCTGTTTCTTTGCCAATGTCTCCGCATTTTTCTTCTGTTCATCCAACAGCCTCTTTTGTTCAGCGGTATCGTCTTCCACATCTAGGCGCCTTTCACGGAAGGCGATTGTGGCATCGTAGTCCGCCTGCTCGCAGCCCGGAGGACACATATCCAGGTCCATCATGTCATCCTCATCCTCTTCGTCTGACTCATCCCATTCGGAGTCCTCTGACGAGGAGGAGGATTCATCTTCATCGCCCTCCTCACCTACAGGGGTCAGTTAAAGAAGAAATCTCTTAGTTCGTTAGTTTTCCTAATTTTGAAGACGGAAAAGACTGACTCCGTCGGCGGCAGGGCTCCCGCAACACAATCAAAGCAATACAAAGGAGCAGATAAGCTGAGTCACATGTAAGGGCCTCTTGCAAGTACAAACCCTTTACAATCTAAACCACCTTGAAAAAGCATGGGAC